CTTTTTTTTTTAATTACAAAATTATCATGAACCACGGTAGTGGTTCATAATCGGGATCGCCCATTTGTTTTTCATTATTATTGTTCCGCTAGCCTACAGCAAAGATGACTGTGAGTGTTGTAATAAAACCTGGTTATTATTACTAAACGCATCATTGCGCATTGTGTAGGGTAGTTTTTAAGTTTATTTTACTACCTTAGCAAATAACAGCGGCTGTATAACTGTTAATACCCAATTGTTTTAATGTAGCCTGTGGCTTATATGGAGCCTGATAATCTACATGCATACATATATAGCTGAGTGCAGACCGTGGATGTAATTCAATGTTTATATTGCAAGCATGGCACATGAACCATAGCGATTATTAACTTATTGGTGCAACTGTATTGATATCGTATATCATTTGTTTATATATAGTGTTCCTGCTCTTTCGGACACGACGCTGCTGACAGGATCACAGTTTTTTTACAACTATATGACCGATTTCGGCTATGTTACACAAACGTCTAGACTGGCTCCCACAACAGAAATATTTAAGCTGTAGTTTAAAAGAGAGCATCAAGTTCAATTTCAAACATCGGATCGGCACTCATGGTGATGGCTGACGGTACGTGTCGAATTATAGCCAGCACTGCGTGATTGCGAAGTTCTAACTACTGCAGATAGAGTAGCCATCCTTGAAGCTGACTATAAGGAGTGGCAAGAATCGTGCAAGCAGGAGATGGCGATTCTAGGTGAAAGCGAGGCAGAAATTCTGTAGCTATATATCTTATTTAGAAAATATTTAGTTTCAGATAAAGCATGCAACAGCGATGGCCCACCAGTGTTGAGGGTCACGATCCAAACTCCATAAGAAATGGAGGAGGGAAAGGTGTATTAACATAATCAATTCATACTTGTTAATCAACAAGGTTTCGACCTTGTAGAGTGTGCAGAATGTCACACTAAGAGGAAATCTAGCCAGCTGCAGCAAAACTGTGATCGGCGGAAAGGAGGAAGAGGAAGGGGGAAATATAACAGTTATATATGTTATTCAAAGACAAACAACTTTTGCTTTCTCCAGATCTATCCCAAATTTCACTTTCTTAAAAATGTTACATGCTGAACAGATTGGAAATGATTGGTCTTTAATGCAGCCTGTACGAACATCGCCAAATTCCTTAAATTGAAAAATAATTTGAATAACATACATCTTACTCATGGGTACCCATTTTCTGTAAGATTTTTCTCTAAACTGCTCAAATTTTTAGCAGTTTTGTCTAGAGGATTGGAGCATCAGTAGGCTATGTCTATATTTTCCTAGTTATCGAAAAGTATAGGAAGACAGTAGATGTAAATTTCTTCTGTCCACTTCTTATATTTTTCTATGAAAAAACTTAGTTACACAAAGTTAGTTATTTGAATCTAAAAATAATCTCCCGTATTATATGTCACTAAAATGATCACGCAAATACTATGGATAGCTCATTAGTGTTTAGTGCGTTTCATGAAGTGAGTTTTTACAATTCTAAAACAGTTTATTATTGGTATAATGATATTATTTGTGCCCACAAATTAACCTCATATTAATGTTTTGAATAGAAATAAATTTTCGTAATACACACACACACACATATGCCTATTCTTTAATAAAGAAGTGGCACAGAATGTTTGCTTTCGAAAGTTTAGAAATCCGTTTTATTTGTTTTTGGCGGTAATGGTGATTTCGGATCATTCAAGTTAAAATAATTTAACACGTTAGTGAAATTATCATATCATGAGACGATTGAGAATATATATTAATAGGAGATTTTATAAGTTGCGTTATTTAATGATGGCTTGTGCGATCATAAAACTTCACACACCAAAAATGCTTATTTCAAACAATAAGTTAACATACAACCCTAAGAAAATGCATGCTATAATAATAATAATAATACTATGGGAAGAGGTCCCACCTGGATATTTTGGTGTCTGTTGATGTAACATGTATATATATATATATATATATATATTATTTTATTATTATTATTATAGGTTATTAACATAAGGATCT